CTAAACCTCTAAAACGCCCAAACCTATAAACCCACTGAAATAGTTTTGATATTCTTTTCCATTATCCAAATATATCCCCAATATATTCCCCATAACCCCTGTATAAACCACCTGGCAACGTGTCCTACGCCACCTCACAAGCTTGCCCCTTGGCCCTCTTTCAAACACCAGTAAACTTGGGGAGAAAAGAACTGGCAAGGTACTCGCCCCAAAAAAGAAAGGTAAGACTTCGGATAACCCAGACCCATGATTAATAACCCCCCTCCCCTTAAATAGGGATTATAATAGGGATCCTAATATTTAGGTCCTTTAACGGAGGGGGTTTATTAATCATGGGTCTACATTAAACCCAATTCATGTACTCTGTATAGATCTCTTTAGAATCTTGCCTGGGTTCCATGCTAGTTTGGGGCTGGAGTCTGGGCCGCTGCTATACTGCACCCGGAACACAGAATGAGGAGCATAGGCATACTGGGAGGACTTTTTCCGCCCACGAAAACGGCCCCTTGAATCTTAAACTAAGCTCCCAAGCGATAAAACTCCCGAACTCTAATCCCCTCCCCCGAAAATTAAACCCGCCAACCCCCTTACTCCCCATTATCCTCATAAAATATTAGGAATATCTAATAGTTGGGGGGAGGTGTTAAGATTCCCTAAAGGTCCAACGACCCAAATAACAGGTTTTTAGGGCTCAAATACTATAATGTTAATGGCATATGGGCCCTAAAACCCTATTATTTGGGTCCTTGGACCCTTAGGGTTTTAAAGGGGCTAACGCCCCTAAACCCTAAACCCTAATGGGGGGGTTAATACTAGGGTGAAGGGATGACACCCCAAAAACCCTTAAGCCCTGACGAGCTCCTTGACGCACACAACTACCAAATCTTCTCGAGTTCTACATCGTCTTGGTAATGGACATGGTGCATCGTTTGTTACATACGTGTGTATATATATATATACATACTATGTCAATGTATACATATAGATATATACTTTGTACTATACCACTGGGTTACAAAAATGCATTCCGTGCATTGCCATGGTAACGAAAACGGTATTGTTGGAGACTTCTTCCGTAAGATCTCTGATACGAGTCCCTACAACTCCTTTGCAACCGCCATGTATTCTTCAGGGTCCCTGAAGACCAACTATCTTGACACACCCAACACGGTCATGGATCGTTTGGGTCCGCCGTGCTGGGTGCAGCGAGCATACTGCCAGCCTGGAAAGGGCCCTTGCATGCTACAGGGACCTAAATATTTACCAATATGATTTTGAGGTCCATTCAAATACCATAGACCATAATTATATAAGGGATATGGAACCATAATATTGGTAATTACTTAGGCCCCTATATTAGGAGTGGAGTGCACGGTTTTGGGATGGACTGTGCCGGGAACCTGCTCATCAGGCCCAAATCGTTTGGAAACAAAAGACGCCCTCCCAATGTATGCCTCTTTGCTTGTTGTTAAGGAAAGTTGTAGAGGGGGGAACCGTGACTTTTGAAGGCAATAACATCACTATTTGTTGCCGCTTTCCACACGCTTGCCAAGTCTTGTCATGTAGCCCACAGCCCCCGAGCAAAGATGGAATCCCGTGTCGATCCCTTTCTAACAAAATGGTCTTCATGCGGCCCCTTTAGGGTTCCATGCTGGTTTGGGGGGTTGCAGTTGCAGTGCCTCCGCAGTACAAGACTTGGCATGTAGCGTGTAGCTGGTTTCGATTTTGGGCGGCCGAAGGTTTGGGTTTGGGGTTTAAGGGATTTGCAACGACTGCGGCACGCAGGTGACTTTCTGGACGTCTGTTCCAGACTTCTACTTCACTTCCTTGGAAAAAGACGGATGCTTTCGCCGTCCGCTCACTTGTGAAATCTGAGCTTTCTGAACTATGGCCCGCTAGCAGAACCTAGGCGTGGAAAGAGCCAGACCTCCACAGGATCCCCTGCTAATGAAACACAATAGAAAGAAGGCTAGTTCGCAGCTAGACCCCAAATTCAAATTAAAAAACCCCTAAACCCTAAATCCTACACCCGCAACCCCAAGCCCTAAAGCATTAAAAGCCGAAACCATACATCCCAAAAAGTGGATGTCCCTTGCCACCATTCGCCTCTGCCGCTGCTTTTGCAGAGGCGCCCTTCCGTGCATACCTTGTCTCAAGGTTTAAGATTGAGATTTGGGATTTCGAATCGGTTTAGGGTCAAGGGTCTAGGGTTTAGGCTTTAGGGCTTGGGGCTCTGGGACTGGGGGTTTCGAGTTGGGGGTCCAGGGCTTGCCTTACTTTAGGGTGTATCTAAGAGTTTGGTTTCAGGGTTTGTTGGGGATGAAGATGTCTCTCCAGATGATCCCCTACGTAACGCCTGATACAAGCAGTTTTCCCTTTGAAAGAAAACCTATGCGTGGGGTCCTTACTGGATTGCTCATCTTTGAAAACTAGGGAGATTCAAGAAGATTGCAAATAGCAACATAATCTGCTTGCAGACTTTTATAAATCCCTGTTGCAACCATCCAGACCTATGCCCTTCTTGAGATCTCACGTCACCAGGACGGTTACAAATATAAATGAAATCGAATTAACTCTGGACAGTTAGATCCCTATCACTATGACAACCAATAATATCAAGAAAAAAGGCAGCCACGATTGCAAGTCGAACGCCAAGTCCAAATCAGAAGCTTCGTATTGGCAACCACCGCGTATTCAAAAATACCAGTTTAAAACTAGCAAACCGGAAGCCGAACGCAGATGCTGCGAATCAATTTTTAGAAACCAACGCACATAGAAGCTGCAAGCCAGAAACCAACACAAATAACATTGCTTATTAGAAGCCACGGCGAATCAACAACTATGATTCAGACACCACTGCAGCCGTCTTTGAGAACCTGTGTGTTCTCACCCCCTCCCCCCTCTTGGACTGATTTGTCTTGTGTCTCATTGATGATGCCCTAGAGGCAAGTTTGCCCGCCCATTTTGGGTTGTCAGTCTTGTGTCCTCTTGATGATGCAAAGACCGCCCCCGCCCCGTTATGCTGTCTGTTTGTCTTCTGCATGAGCTTCTAGGATCTAGTTCGAAGAATAGTGTCAGTCAATACTCACGTTCTTGCTTTTCTGGGCACGCTGATTCTTGCGTTGTTGGCAGCAACTGTCACACACAGACTTTGCCGGGCAAACGAACTCAGAACCCCAACCCGATACTCCGGTACTTGTACTATATCCTACAGTCCTACAGTCCTGAAAACCAATAAACGGGGGTCCCCACATTAAGGGTACCTTATTCAGGGCCCCCATAATAAGGATTGTAGTATTTTGGGGTCAATATTGGGGTCCCCCTAGTTAGGGAAACTACCGAACCTTCAAATTCCAAACCTCAACCAGAGCCAAAGTCAGAGCATTGGAGTGCCTCAGTGAACCTAATGTAGACCTTAGGTGGACCCCCCACCCTGCAATAGTGGTCTTATATTCCTATTATACCACCATTACAGGGTGGGGGGGTCCTCCTAATGTAGACCCATGATTAATAAACCCCCTCCTTTAAAGGGCCTTAATATTAGGATCCTTATTAAAGTCACTACTAAGGGGAGGGGGTTTATTAATAAGGGGTCTAGAGTAGTCAACAGACGCTAGACGCATTCAACTCATACATCCTAAAACCTCACCTGGACCCCTGGAATTCTGTACTACAATGGCCCAATTCCACTAAAACCCAGAATTCTAAACTTCAAGAACTAGATTGGCCCCAAACCATCAACCCTAAACTCAGAAGCCTTGGGCCCTAATTCCCACGCCAAAAGCCCTGAACCCAAAGTCTCCGCCCTAATTAGGCCTCTCCTGAATGTTCAGGGTGCTTGGAACTGAAATATACCAATACTATCCAATACTTATACTTCAAGTAATAGCCTATGAGTTCCCTGATGAGGGTTTAATGAAAGTAAAGCTGTACCTGAGCTAGAATTACAGGCGAAACAAGGAATCCGAAACCATAAACCCTTAACCCCCAAGCTGGTTGAAGCAAGGTGCACCACCCGCGAGGCACAGTCTACGTCCTCCATCACGAAAATTACCTGCCGCGCTTCCGGGCATGGGATTTGGGGTTTAGGGTTAAACCCTGAACCCTAGACCCTAAACCCGATTTAGGGTTTAGGGTGCTGGTTTTAGGGTTTAGGTTTCAGGTCTTTAGGGTTTAGCATTTGGAGCTGTAGAATCAAACCTTACAGCTCAGGGCTCGGGTTTAGGGTTTTAGGATTTCCGGGTTCGTGCTTTTGTTACAGTTTAAGAATTCGGCCCAGGTCTTCGGGCATACCTAGAAAGCCAATGACATTGAAGGTTCTTGGAAGGACCCCTCAGAAGGGGGACTGTGGGGCTGGGGTTTGCGGTTGAATGCTTGAAAACAATCAAAAACATGTGTTCTTCATGCTTCGGGGTTCCGGTACCCTACCGCAAGCCGTGAAGGGCAAACCTATACAGTTTAAGGGTTTGAGGTCTAATTTCCTGTCACTCCGGGCCAGAAGCATCAGACTTTCTTGGGTTAGTAGGTTCTCCGTAGATCCTAAACCCCAAACCCTAAACGGATTACCCACGTCTTCTCCGCTGGCGGAAATATCCACCAAACCCACGTCGCCGGTCTTGAGGGTTTTGGTGAAGGCCAACCGTCTTGTGCATGGCTCTGAAATTGCTCGGGGAAGTTTCTATGACCACCTTCTAGCCCCAAAATGATAGAACCCAACATCCAGCACCCTAGTCAGACGAATCGCTTCCCCTTGCAATCCTCTAAGCGTCCAGCTACCCAACAATCATAACCCCACAAAAAACCTGCATTACAATTACCGATACCAAAATCCCCGAATCCCAAGTAATTACCCAATTTTGGGGTACAAGGGCTAAACCTAACCCCTAGATATCCTCATAGATATCCCCGTATAACCCCTCATGTCTCTCCCCTAATAAACCCCAAACATGCGCATTGGGTACGTGAACCGGCACCCTAAATTCCAGGGGAGGGGCCACTGCCTCATCAAATTTCATCTTGAAAGGCTCGTCTTCACCCTTGACAGAGTAGGAAAGGTCGAACATCATGTCCATCAGCTCCTATTGACTTTGGTGTTTTAAGAGTACTGGTCCATGATTTTTAAGGTTTGGGGGTTTAGGATTTAACATTTAAGGTATAACCCTAAACCTTACTTTTGGGGAAGGTCCAGGTAAGAGTTGCGGGACAGGCAGCATTTCGAAACCCTAAACCAAGGTCGGTACTGGGTTTGGGCTCAAGGCCGTTTACTTCTTGCGAAAAACGGGGGTGCGGGTTCAGGGTTTCGGGTTTAGAGCTTGGGGTTTAGGGTTCCATCATCTTCTCGCTTCCGACCAAGTCCTGAGTAACATTGTCATTGCCGCAGGCGGGGCCTCCTATATGCGCCTCTGTCCAAGAAAATGAGGGTCTCCAGTGGCCTCCAAGCCTCAGTTGCCTCCAGCCTGCCAAGGCCTCCGCTGTACGGAAGGAGCCCGCAGGGGCTCTATACGTCCATTCTCCACAGGCTCCTCCTATTGTCTTTACCCAGTACGAGTGTAATGTCTTCAGTGTCTGACCACCCTAGTAATGGGTGGGAACGGCCTAAGCAGGCCGGGTGGAAATGTATGGTTTAGGGTGAGGCTGTGGTCTGGGAACCTGTCTTGCTAAGCATGACTTCTTGGGTTGCACCTGCATCTGGAAGTGAATAAGTTGAGGGTTCAGTCATGGGACGTACCCCCGAAACGGTTTAAATGAACCCTCCTTGGTTTGTTTGCTTCAACCTTGAACCCTAGGGTTCAACCATACACAAGCCAACATCCCGAAACCTAGCCCAAACACTCCCGGTCCTTGGAGCCTCCTTGTGTCCCACAATACGAGCCCCCTCCTACTTTCCACCTTTATTTACATTGTTAAAAGCTGTTCAGAAGGGAACCTAGGGAGGTAGTAAGGGGTAGTAGGGGAACCCATGGTAAACCCTGGACCGTCCTGATTCGTCTTAACCTTCTCCAGGGAGACTGAAACGATGTGCCTCTGCAGGTAGATGGCAAGAGCCTGCGATTGCAAACCCTAAACTTTAAACCCGAAGCCCTAAACGCTAAGCCCTAAACCCTCAACCCTAAACCCTCAACCCTAAACCTCAAACCCTAAACCCCAAACCCTAAATTCCAAACCCTAAACCCTTTACCCCAAACACCAAACCCTAAACCCCAAACCCCAAACCCTTAATCCTAAACCGTAAACAAAACCATAAACCCCAAACCCTAAACCCCAAACCCTAAACCCTAGGCCCTAAACCCTAAACCCCTATGTTGGTTCTACGAGAGCTCCCAAAATTTGGGTTTCGGATTCGGGCTTAGGGCTTAGGGTTTAGGGCTTAAGGTTTCACATGGGACTTTTTCCATAGATTCCAGGGAGTTCTCGAAAAGACGCCAAGAATCATCCCGCACAGCCCGCATATCGCGACCATACACGCGCATCCGAAAATCCTAAACCTCACTCCCAGCGGAACAAGGCATGGACCTTACACTCGGCATGGCTGTCATCATGATGAATTGAACACAACCTGTCTTTGAATTCTGCCCTCTGACCCAAAGAAGCCGAACCACAAAAAGATGAAGTGCAAAGGTCACAGTAAACTGAAAGTCCTTAATGCTCCACTAAACCATCAACCCTAAACGCCAGACCCAGTAAACCTCAAACCCTACACTCCGCGCTCCAGCTCACAGCCAACCCCAAAGTATGGTCCAAGTCTGGGGATGAGGCCATATTTCGAAAGTTCAGGAACCACAAACTCTTATAAAATAGCTCTAAACCCTCTTTCAAAACCTCTAGAAACCCTTAACACAGGACCGAGACCACAGGACCCCGACGGGGGTTGCCTCTATAAGCCCCCACTCAAAATATTAACCCTGTATCATGAAACCGCGACGAACCCTCCAGAAAACTCTTGGACCTTCTAGAAACCTACAAAAAAGATGAACCCTTTGCAAACCTTCTATAAAGCTCTAAGAAGCCTTTTCAAACTCTGTAGCACCATCTATCTTTACAAGCTCTGTCAGAAACATTCTATAAAACCTTCATACATCCGTAGAGCCCCCTCAGACCACCTGTTGAACCCTATGAGACCTGTTACAACGGCTGCTTTAACCCTTATAGAAGCCCACTATAAAGATTAGACACCCTTGGAAACCTAATTTCAAACTGTAGCCTAAGTCACACAGCCCAGACCACATGACCACAGGGCTACAAGGAGGGGCAGGTTTATCATACTCTATAGCATGGAACATTGGGGGGAAACCCTAATTCCCATGCGAACCCGTGAATGTTGACGCATATGGCCCTATAAAACCTTTGTAGCCCTAGACCCTAAAGGCCTTGATGAGACTCGTCTTTCCGGTGCCAGGTGGGCCATCGAGGAGAATGCCCAGCTTGTTTGGAAACCTGATCTGCGTCAGGACGCAGGTCTGTAACTAATGGTCCCCCACATATGTTCACTTACCTATCTTTCCGAAGAACCTTGTCTTACCGATTACTAGTAGGGAATGAGGGAATATTATATATAGGGACTATACAGGGATTACATTCCCTGAGTCCCTAGCAACCTAAACAGTAAGTTATGTATTCTGGCACCCGCTAACCCCTATCAAATATGCTTCCCTCAAGGGTCAGATGATAGCCACACGGCGCCTATCTTGGGAGCTAGGGTAACCAAAGCCCAGTGATGAAAGTAGTAGATGTAAGCTAGAAGACACGGGTACAGGCTAAGGATTTAGCATTTGGAGCTTGGGGCGATGTGGAGCTTTGCTGGGTATGTGGCGCAAGAACCTAACATCCATTATGCGGTGAGACTTTTGAGGAAGAGGCTTTGGGTCAAGGTCTGTAAAACAGCTAGGGCGGAAAAAGTCCCCTTGTATGCCCTCAAACGACGAGCATCATTACTGTAGGTATACCCCAACAATTGAACCCTCATTGTTGCAAACAACATTTAGTCTGTCAATGTGGGTCGACTCCTAGGGAGTTCCTAGAGAGCTTCCCTGAGGACAGAACTTCAAGAATCACTATTATACGGCATTCTGACACGGTCCATCCTGTTTGGGGCCCCAAAAGTGACCTTCATTCGTAACTCCGTCGATTTAGTGGTCCCTGTTTGGGCTGCTTTTATGGTTTTGTAGGCGTATGTCGATTATTTTCAGGTATAGAGGGGGAAGGTCCTAGTCTGGAAATGTCATAGCCGCTAGAGGAACGATAATGCTTGCCAAAAACCTGGCCCCCGATAATGCCCCAAGCACGAACCAAGAGCCCAAACCGAAACAAGCGAACACATGATAACAAGAAGAAGAAGAAGAAGAAGCAAAGCCCGTTCGAATAAATGGAAGTTGGTTTACAAGCGCACTGCAACTCTCCTGCATTGCTCCTACGTGGCTCGACATACTCCGAGCGGCCCAGGAATAGCAAACTTGCCTGGCGTCTGCCGGCTTTGTTAGGTGGACCCCCAACCTGTAGTAGTGGTATGTTAGGGTTTAGGGTTCAGGATTTAGCGTAGAAGTGGTATAATTAGAACCTAGGAGGACCCTAACAGAATCACCACTACCCCTTATAGTCCCCTGATGGCTGTGAAGTGCTGTATACATAATTCTCTACCATAAGCCATGAGAAGCCTAAAAGTAAGCCTGAACCTTAAGCCGCCATCTACAAGGGCAGCCCAGCCCCATCCCACAAGGCCTCATGAGGCCTGGACAAGGGTTGGGGCGCCATGAAAGGTTGAGGTTTTAGGCTTGAATTGGGAAATTGCCTAGGCGACACAAGTATGTAGTAGAATAACAGCCTTTTAAGCTGTCTTTGAAAGATTTTTGGGCCAAGATCTGACCCACTTTGGGGGCTAAGCTAGGGTCTGGGGTTGACTCGGCTTTTCTGGGCTGCTGTTAAAGAACTTAATTCAAGTTACTATATCGGGGAAACCATGTTAATTACTATATCTACCCATTATTCGAACTTAATTTAAGTTCCTTAACAGCAACTAAACCCTAAACCCTAAATTGTAATTTCCATCTGATTTTCTATTATCCCTGTATAATTCCTTGTTCTTTAACAGCAACCCAGTTTTTTCTACACCAATCCGGCACCTCCAAGCCCAAAGTCCAGTTGAACATGGTTTCGGGCTCAGGGCTCGCGAAGTAGAATCACTGCCCAGGCCGAGACCCGAATTTTTTGGGAAAACATGCGTATAAATATACATATATATATATATGTATTATATAGGAGCTAGTATGTATCTATATAGGAGATCCGATTTTCAGATCGTCCCAGGGGTCTGGGTAACCAAACTCAAAGAGCTCTCGGCCCATAACTTTGAAAGTCCAAGCCCACGCAGTAAGAGTTTGGGATCATTGTAGTCCGTCCTGAACTTCACGGTTTTGTCTTTAGTGTGGTACACTGCTTGATGTGTGCGTGTCATCCTTAGGAAGGGGCATGCAAAACCTCCGATTTCACCGGATGATCCCCGAAGGCACTTTTAGGGTCTTAGGGTTTACGATTCGAGGCTTAGGGTGAAAGGCTAAAGGTCCCCCAAACCCTAAATCCTGGACCCTAAACCCTGAACCCTAGACCCTACACCCTAGACCCAAAGCCAGAGGGTTTAGGGCGTATAAGGTCTCCTAGAAACCTGACGTCAGGGTCTAGGGTTCGTCCATTGGAAGCTCTCACTGCAGGAGGTTGGCGACAGATAGGGAATATGAAGGAGGGTTTAAGGTGACATTCTCCCATATGAAGTTGTCAAAATTGTGGCCCTCTTTGTGGTACCCTGAAATCAGGGGCCGCATTTTGGTGGGACCCAAGAAAAGGGATAACAGTTCGGACAATCTAGCATAAAAGCTCTTGAAGAGGTCCCTGTCCCAAGGCAGCAGTAGTTCTTCCGACATCGAACTCTACAACCTATCTCTAAGGGTCTAAGCACCCAACTGTCCTATATTTACCCCAACACAACCTGTTTTGCAATTGAAAACACCAAAATCCCAATACCCAAGCATTGGGTACACCTACCTTAGCTGACTGCAGGACCTCCCTCAAGAAATTAGACTTCAGGCCTCTCTATTATAGTTACGAAGCCCAAAACTACCATAAACCCGAAACCCTAAACCCTAAATAGTAGTTTCCACTTTGTGTTCCATTAGCCCTATATAACCCCTATGTTTTACCCTAAAACAACCCTATATAACCCTATAGACCCCCTAAAGACCCATAAAAACTAAAGTCATAAACAACAGCCAGGCTAGAGCCAACAAAGAGTATGCCTTCCAAAGCCAAAAGGAAAAGATGTCGCACCTCGGCCGTGACGAAAGTCCTCGCTTGTTTAAGGCTTGCGGTTGCCCAGAAACTCTTCTGTGGGAATTGGCCTGCATTAAGCACTCTTCTAATATCACAAACTTGCACTGGAACTCATCTTAAGATAAGGCCCCCACTATAGGTACGGGCAATGCCGATGTAAGTCCCCTTCAGTTTTGGAGCGACACTTGTGGAGTTAACCCTAAACCCTGGACCCTAAAGATCAGGTGAAGTGACAGACTGCCAAGGAAATCCCTGACTTCGAGACTCGCCTCCTCCAAAGGATTCAGGATTCGGGGTTTAGACTTCAAGGTTTGGGTGTTAGGGAACGCCTTGGTCCACTTGAGCTAGAACCACCCTAAACCCTAAAACCCTAAACCCGCTCGTTGTCTCAAAGCGCCATGCGCGGGAAGGGGAACACCTGTGAGTTGCCCTGCAATGGTCGTCTGGGTTGCTGTTAAGGAACTTAAATTAAGTTACCATAATGGGTATATATAGTAAATAATAGGGTTTCCCCAATATAGTAACTCAATTTAAGCTCCTTAACAGCAACCCAGTCGTATCCTCTCCCATTCGTAAGCTTTAGGGCTTAGGACTGAGGGTTTAGGGCTTAGGGCTGAAACCTTCCGAGTCAGTTCCGAATACGTGGCAGATTCCCACAAAGAATCCCCTTGTTTTTTTTTCGAAAGGTAATAGCACTCTCTTCCATCTTGTGAATCTCAAAATATCTCTGCTATTCAAATTGGGGCCGCCTCCAGGGAGAACCCCGATGTCTGTCTCGCGTGGATCTTTCACTTTATGGCATGCTCTAGAGTTTAGGGTTTAGCGTTGATATTCCAAATCATGCATGATCTTAGTGATTACAGTACAATTCCATACTTCCCAAGGTATCAGGTATCTAGCGACATGCAGGATGGTTGACATCAACTGTGGCGATTGATGCCTGCACGGCCTCGCCCTGAATCCTCCCACCTTGGGCAAAACACTGCCCCAAATCATTGCACTACCCTAAACCTGAACACAAACCCTAAACCCTAACCCCTTAACCCTAAACCCTAAACCCCTAAACCCTAACACTAAACCCTAAGACCTAGATCCAAACTTAGACCCTATACTTGGAACCCTGACCTTAGAGGCTCCCAAGCCCACGCGCCAATCCCTAAAGCCCGAGACAGTTTGTTCCTCAAACCCTTATATGAGCTGTAGTCTAAACTGCTTAAAGGGTGGTTATATAGGGGATTATATAGGGGACTATTACAGGGGTTATTAAGGGGGATACTAGGAGTTTAGACTATAGCTTATATAGAGGTTAGGGGTTAGGATTCGAGGTTTGGGGTTAGGGTAGTGTAGGGTTTACGTTTTTGGGCTTCGGGTAATCTACTTAAAGCTTCCAGACACCTGAAGTCATGGGCTCAAAGCCAAGATAGTGGATATACGGGCTACCATGATAAGTATTTAAGAGGTCTGGGGATTCTCGCAACTCCTGAACTGCAGGCGGGAGTCATCGACGAGCTTGAGAAGCTGCTTCTTTTCCGGAAAGAAGAGCGTGTCAAAGCTCTTCGAGTCAGACAAAAGATATCTCCTCGTTGAAGCTCTCTTGACGTCAGTCCATTTAGTAACAAGATTACAGGGCTGATAACCGTAAACCCTAAACGATGAACCATGGTCTTTTGGGAAAATAGGTCGATTTACTGAAGCAAAAGATATCTCTCAGGCACACAGCAAGTGAGTATATTGCGAAACACAAGTGTTGTACATAACAGCAAGTATAGCAAGTCATAACAAGGTTATAACTCATGTCATTTCCTACCTAGAAAAAAAGCCCTAAACCGATGGTTGATGCTATGTTCCCCTCTTTTCCACCTTGGGCTTAGGGATGCTCATGTTGCAGGCACAGGGTTTTTTGTCACCCTTAAGTAGATAGAATATGGGGTATATGCGCATCTTATTGCAACGTACTAAAAGCCATGTTCTATCTACTTAAGGGAGACAATAGGCCTGAGGGCTCACTGGTAGTGTCCAAAACGAAGTGCGGTTTAGGGTTTGATTGACGCTCGAGCGATCTTGACTAGCTATTGACCCATATTGGTTTAGGGTTTAGTGTTTAGGGTTCCATATTGAGAAGGATTTGAAATTAGGGTTCCATATTGAGAAGGCTTAGAAATTAGGCCGAAGGGCGTGCAAGATCGAGGGAAGCCTGCAAATCCGCAAAGCGCGCAGAAGCCCATAGCTTTTCATGACAACCCGCAAACAAGCCCACAGTAAATCCTAGATAGACCGAAATGCCCTCTGATACTCTCTGTATGAGATATAGTCTAAGCTCCGAGTATCCCCCTTAATAACCCTTATAATACCCCCTCTATAATCCCCTATATAACCCTCTTTAAAGAGTTTTGACTACAGCTCATATTAAACCCTCATCCCCATAAATTCCCCTATAATCCCAGGTTCCATTTCGTGCTCCATTTACTTGTCCATTTGATTCTCCATTTTTCGGGTAATACCACTGTACCCTAGCCTAAACCCTAAACCCTAAACCACCCATATGTCTCTTATTCTGAGGCTTGGGATGTGGGGAACCTATGATCTTGACCCCACCCGAATTCAGCCTTGCATCCCAACATGTTGGTTTAGGGTTTAGCCTTTGAGGTTTAGGGTTTAGGGCTTAGGGTGTAGGGCTTAGGGCTTAGGGTTTAGGGCTTAGGGTTTAGGGTTTAGGGCCTAGGCTTTAGAATTTAGGGCTTAGGGTCTCGACCTTCTGGCGGCTTTGTTCAGGGCTTATGGAAAAAGAGAATATGCAAGCCCGGGGAGAAAGTCCGCGGAGCGCCAACCCTAAACCCTTAACTCCGAACCCTGAACCCTAAAACCCCAGTCAAGCCATGAACCACACATCATTAATCCTTTATGCTAGCCCTGCGCCCTGAAGCTAAAGTGCAATACAGGTTCTAGACACCACAACCTGTAATAAGCACCCTACAACTACCATACATTTATGATAGGGTCCCAGTTTTAATTGTTTTGGTAACCATCATCACGTTATTACCGACCACAAATCCCTGTATAACCGCAGTTTCCATTTCATCTCGATTGAAGCTCAAGTCTCCTAGACAACTGGGCCCCTTCTGGCCAAGCCACTTCCAGCTATCCCAGCCCCTATAATGAGGACAAAAACTGTGATAGGGCCCTAATTGCCGGGGTTGGGGTATCAAAAGTCTGCTATCCCTAAACCCTGAACCCTTAATCTTTCCCGCTGAGCCACTTGTATTTCCGCGCCATATCACTTTCATCGTCAGATCCAGCCTGGAAGCAACAAGTGTAGCCAAAGCGAAAGGGTGCATGTAGCCCATAATTGGGTCTCTTTAAGTTAGGGATTAGGGTTGAGGCCTTTCGGGTTTAAGGGGATAGATAGGGGTATATAAGGGGAACTAAGAACATGAAGAGTTTCTGGTCCATGTAGCCCAAAAATGGATCCTTTAAAAGGGATGAATAATAAAGGGGTGTATAAAAGGGAACATAAGCATAACAGGTATCGAGTTCCTGGTCCATGTACTCAGGAATTGGGTACTTGTTATTTTGGTGCGTCTATTAGCAGCTCAGGCTATTCATTTGTATATGACTTGTGTTGATGCAGGTATCCAGGATGTCTGGGGGAGAGGCTCAAAGCAAAAGAGCTCAAGACAACTTGACTACCGTGACCTAGGCTCCCCAGTAACCCAGGAGTAATGAGGGTACCTTTTTCCTACTGTTCAGCTTTAATAAGGAGACCCAAAAACAAAAAGGGCAAAAGGCTACTACTGTGGTACCCAGAATACTCTTGCAAATCAAGTTCTCCCTAAACCAACACAGCCAAAGTCCGGCTTTCAGGCGCGAAGGCTTAGGATGGTGTAAGGCGTTCAGGGTTTATGGTTTAGGGCTCCATGGCCTCTTCATGTTGCAGGCACGGCGCGGACGGGCAACTATTGGACTTTGTAGTTTAGGAAAATCAAGGGTTCGCGGCATGCTCCTTGAAGCTGTGGGAAAGCCTAGGTGAACAAACTCAAAACACGGTTCGGGATTACTCCCGTACCCCTAATCTAAAACGCCATCACATCCCATTAACATCAAATACTCCCAATATATTATCATTTACCACATAGTGGGAATATTTCATATTAGGGGGGGCGTGGGAGGTGTTTGATCATAGGGGGAGAGGATTAGCGCAGAATCTGGCTCAGTGAAGGCATAGGCTTCAAAGTTGTCGGTTGTCAATGCGTGGGCTTTTAGGCGCAGGGTGTGTGGGTTTAGGGTTTAGGGTTGTTGGTTTGGATGGTTTAGAGTTTAGGGTTCAGGGTTGAAAGCGAAAGACAATTGAGTTCAAAGACGCGCACAAAACAAACAGAATGCAGACGTCTGCTTGACTGCTTCTACATTGCATTGTGATTATATAGGGTACCTGAAACAAACCTAAACATGATTTCAGCTGTTAGCAATCTTATTATTGTCGGACTCCGCCCACAGTGAAAGCAGGGAACTGCGATGGGGACCTGCATTCCACTAGCAACCCTTATATAGCTAGCGACCCATCCGAACCGCAAAGCTTCGCAAATCAGCTCTCCATGCGGGGGTTTCTCAAAAATGAGGGCCCTTCGGCACCCAATGGGTACATGGGTATTAATTGCGCGGTTTAGGGTGTTGGGCTTAGGGATTACAAAGGGAATTCTTTTGGGTGCCCGTTGAGGATTCGATGTAGGCTTTTCAAACAAACTACTACACGGGGGCTGCCAAGAAGCTCTAAACCCCAAATGCCCTGCTTGGGAGATCCTCGAAACTATTGTTCTTGGGATATTTTGGGATGTGTAGAGCGAACACCCTAAACCCTAAAACCTGAACCCTAAGCCCTAATTTGTGTAACTAGGCTAGCACCAACTCTAGGGATCAGATAAGACCAAAACTCAACCCCCAAGAATGCAAAAGACCTGCAGAGCAGATCCAGGGAGTATAACTAGGGTTTAGGGTTCAAGGTTTTGGGTTTTGGGTTCAGTTTGTGTTGTAACCCTTTGGACTTTTACGTCTGCACTAACGTGCAAAGGGTTCAGGGTTTAGGGTTCAGGGTTTAGGATTGTTTATACCCACCCAGGACCCTGCAAGCAAACGCGAATACTTGAATGGCTTTTGCCTGAAGCAACTACTTTCTCTCTAATCTCTACATCCGAGATACTGAAGCCTACACCCTAAGCCCTAAACCCTCACTCCGAAACCATGGTGCCTAGAACATCATCTCCAGAAAGCACCGAGGACCTAGGAATCCCCGGAAACCAACACATTTTTCTTTGCAAAACATGCCAAGGTTCAAAAGTCTGCCTAACTTTGTGGGACATGACATGGGATTCTAAACTAGGCCCAGTCATACATAACCCTGAACCCTACGCCCAAACCAAATGATCCCAATAAGCGAATCCAATACGGCACTCGGGTTCAGTTGAGGGAAACCCTGAACCCTAAACCCCAGGGACCTCTTCAGAAACCTTCGGCGACGTGATGACAGGCTGGTAGAGGTATCGGCTTTTGTCGATCTCCTGCACGGGCTGGGTATCAGGTCCAGGGTCCACACCGTGGGAACAACTGTGAGGGTTTAGGGGTTTAGGGGTTTAGGGTTTTGGGGTTTAGGGTTTAAGGGTTTAGGGTTTAAGGGGTTAGGGTTTAAGGGTTGAGGGTTCAAGGGTTTAGAAGCTTAGGGGTTTAGGGGTTTAGGGTTTAGAGCTGAGCGTTTCGGGCTTAGGGTTTAGGTTTTGCTGTAAAGGAACTTAAGCTGCACGATAAGGAAGTCATAACACTTACAGTAGATCAATTTCGCGGTAACTTAGTTTAAGGTCCTTCACAGCACACCTGAGAAAACCCGCCTGAGCCAGGCAACACCCTCCGCGTGCACTTAGGCCAAGAATGAGGAATGTCGAGGTCTTGCTTGAATCCCCAAACCTTATGTGAGAAAAAAATGGTCCTGTCTTGCTCGACAAAAGGATGAGGAAAAACAAGCAACTTATGCGCTATATGGCTCAGCATTATAATGATTAATCGCCTCTATTTTTGCAGCCAATACTTTGGCAGGCTATGGCAACAGCTTGACAGGATCAGTCCCTCACAGGCCTTCAAGGCTATGCTTCTGGTGGTTGGACTAAGGGAAAGGCATATTCTCGTTTATGAATACCTTAGGCAAAAGAAAGATATGATCTTACCCTATGCTGCTGATTATGTCTCCCCGTTGGTCGTTAAAGACTAAGTCCACTACTGCGCCTGCGTGACCTGCACTGCCAAGTGGCCAAGTATTCGGCAACTCTACGGAAATCTGTAGCCTGAACCCAAGCAAAACCCTTCCAAGACCACGCTCTAAAAGAACTGACCCCCAAACTTACGGACATGGATACCGTGTGGCGGCAGCTCGATTCGGTCAATTTGTGAGGACATTCTACGCCAGTTGTGCAGTGCAGTGCATGCACTGAAATGCAAAGCCCAATCCCTCCCCCTAATCCCTTGAAATATCCATCCGTCCTTTGTAACCAATAAACGCTGTACCAGGCTGTACCCTTTCCCTCAACAGTCACTGCCCTAAACCCTAAACCTTCAACCAACTGTCCTCCCCCTTTTTCTGCTTGTAGTAGTCAAAGGCCGCATCTATGAACTTATCCACCTTTTGCTGGGCTTTTGGCCCTCGAGCGCGGAGCTCGAAGATGAAGTTTCCTGATTTTTTATCTAAGGTTTAGGGTGTAGGGCTTAAGCTTTAGGGTTTCCTATTGTTCTGTGTTATTCAGGAGAACCCAACATGAATGGGAAACAGGGTACGACTAGGGTACGTAGTTGTTCAACATCGTGTCGTCTACATGTTGCAGCCCTACATTCGTTCAGCACGACGGGCTGGCGCTTCCCGAGATCATGCACTCCCTTAACACATGTCCGCTTGACCATGCCTAGACCTCCCAAATCCCTCAGATAATGGCCTAAAACCCGAAACCCTGCAGCCGTGCAAGGCAGCGAAAGAGTATAAGACGCAGCAGAGATTCGTATGCAAACGCGGCCCTGTCCTTCACCTGCATTATAGGGTTTACAAGGGGTAGGGTGCCGGGGAACCAAGAACACTTGGATAGCAGCCCCTTCGCAAGGGCTTCTGAGAACAAAAGCCCACAAAAAAGGCCCAAGGCGTTCGAGATCCTAAAACCTCAGCCATGGCAAGGGGTTTAGGGTTTAGGGACTTGTCAGGACTTGAGTCAAGTATCCCCACCTCGAGACTGTAGACATCCGGCTTCAAAATCTTACTGCGAGTTACAGGTCCAGCATTGAGGGTGCAGGCAATGGGTGTAGGGTGACAGGTCTAGGGTCTATGAGCCCTGAATTTCATCCGCGTCATTTTTCCAAAAAAGAGGGCCCAAGCTTCCAACCCGGACAACATATCTGCTGCGGGCTTTGGGCTTATAAGCAACTTATAGGCTTCGAGTTTCAAAGCTTTTGACACGGGATGAGGGACTTGGGCTTGTACCCAGAGGAGCATGTCAGCCAAAGCAATCGCCAACAAAACGGTTTAGGGTGTAGGGTTTGGGGCTCATGCACAGAGGAGACTTGCAGGCATCTGAGCCTACAGTCCTGCATTTCCACTTTTGGAGGGACACTACTTACAGGAGCATAGGTATCTAGAAGTAGGGTTCCCCATATGACTGTATCCCCACAGCCACTACCCATAAGCCCTGAAGTTTAAACCCTATAGTATGCCTTAAGCTACCCATGACCCTATGCACCCTAAGCCCTAAGTAATGCTCCACCTGATAAGGCCCATTGTCCATCCCAAACCCTACGTATTTTGGACAGGTTAAAGGTGTGCGAGCGTGCTGTTCACGGCTTCAGCAAATGAATCCCAAACCCTGAACCCCAAACCCTAGACCCTAAACCCCAAACCCGAAGCCCGAAACCCCAAACCCGAAGCCCTAACCCCAAACCCTAAACGCAAATCCGAAGGTTGAAAGGTTCCATGCAGGATGTCGCAAGGCCCTGGGCCTTAGAACCCGGAAGCCCTCCGCACTTCCCTTGAAAGCCATTGTCAGCGCCCGCTTCTTCAGATTCGCAAGGATGCCCTCGGCATTTTTGTGCTGCAGACTGCTTCCCTCTGTCGCCATGCGGGTCACGACCCCATTGTGTGAGACGCTCTTCCACACACGTGTTGTGCTTCTCTGCGAGGCCAAAGCATAGCTCCGGTGTCCGCATCTCCACGCAACCTTTCGCAAACTCACCCTGCCCTGGTATGAGATCAACTGCGCTGTCTACGCAGCAGGACCAAAGCGTCTCCATATGGCATTTGGTCGGCATTTAGGATTTAGGGTTTGAGGTTTGGGGTTTAGGAGGATTTAGGGCTCTTCCCTGCTAACTTTTGACGGTCAAAAATCAGGAATCTTTTTGGTGCGCGCTATAGAATTCCCACTTCAGGCTATGTTGATTGTCAGCAAGTAAAGGAAGAGCCCAAGTCAGACCAAGAAACATCAACATGCGTAATTACGCCAAACAAGACACTGGCTTCTTCAGGCTATTGACCATTTACGTGGCCCTCGACATGAAACCCTGAATCCTAAAGCCTAAAACCCCAAACCCTCAACCCCAAAACCCTAATCCCTAAACCTCAAAACCCTAAACCCAAAACCATAAACCCTAAGGAAGCGTGAGCCCGAAATCCTAGTTCATCCTTAACCTTAACCCTCGGAGTGACCCCTACAGCATCACTTGTTTAGGGTTTAGGGTTGAGGGCTTGGGGTTTAGGGTTTACCATTCTGTTGGATCCTATAGCCCCCCTTAAGTAGATAGAATATGGGGATAGGGGGATCTTACTATAATATATCCAAAGCCATAACCCAAAGCCATATTCTATCTACTTAAGGGGGACTATAGATCCTAAATCCTTAGCTCCCACTCGCTAGAGCAGATTACAAGAGTGCAGGGCTCAGGGCTTAAGAGATTCAGGAGGTGAACGCTGGGACTTTGGGGATTGGAGTTCAAGGCTTCCGGTTCAAAGCTTGGGGCTCAGGTTGAAAATCTGGGAGCATAGCGGGTTTAAGGGCGTTTAGGGTGTAGGGTTCAGGAGCATAGGGCTTTAGGGTTTAGGGTTGCTCTTGTTCGAAGGGAATTAACAAGGTATTCCTGCAATATGCCGCGCTTGATTGCAGAACAAACCCTTCAGGCCAAGACTTGCTAACAACTGCCAACGTTACCCCAAATCCTAAAAAAAACTCAAGCCTACAGCCTAAAGCCTAAACCCTAGAGCCTAAAGCCTAAACCCTAAACCCCAAAACCTGAAACCTAAACGCTGTCAAGCCAAAGAACCCTGAACCTCGCACCCTCAGCCTTGAACCCCAAACTCTGAACCCCAAAACCCAACCCCTAAACTCCTAAACGGTCGGGCAATGCTTCTTGGGTGGTTCAACCAACAAAGCTCATAGTTCCTGTTATCGATGGCCACCACCGAGGGGAGGATAGAATCTTAATTCTATAAGCGTTACGGGCTACAGTGTCCCCGAATAAAAAAAACTACTCACCTGAGTGCGGGCCTTCTTCGGAAACATCCAGGCATTGTCGGAAGTACAGGGGCGGCGCTGCAGAATCAAGAACGACCCAATGATCTTTCCTCAAGAGATGTGAGGCCGTACTGTAGGGGCCGGAAGTATTTGGAATAATGGACTCCCAAATGGAAAGCAACAGTAAAAACGATATAAGAGCTGGGCTTATATCTACAGGGATTTCAATGCAGCGGCTATGTAAATCTCGAACGTGGTATTGAGGTATATCATGCTACGGCTACCAAATGGTTCTGAGGGAATACTGTTGGTGGCTATTCAGGCGTCTATAGAATGCTTAGAGAAATTGGGCTGACAGTGTGCATGCACGCACCGCGGTTAGAGTTGGGGCTCAAGGAGCTCTTTTGTTCCCAAGAAATGCTGAACGAGCCTGCTCCTGTACATATGCAAACATCGGCATTTCCCAAGATTAGGGGCACCTTTTGAGGGGGTTCTATAACAAGGATAAAACTTCAGAGTCCCAGGTAGCAGAACGCACATACATACAGTGTATCGCAGGAACAGCAAGATGTCCGCCCATCTAGCTAACAACAAGCCGGACCTTACTACTAGATCCAATTCCTTGTCATTGTCTCGAAGTTCTAGCATGACTGAATCTATTGTGCGGGATTGCTTTCCAAACTCCCTGCCTGGCACCACCAGCTGTTAAGGCATGCCCTAAGCCCTGAAGCCTAAACCCTAACATGGCTAAACGAGGGCATATAGCCAGGCTTCTGCACTGAACCTGAACCTGGTCCCCCAAGGGTTTGAAGTTTAGGGTGTAAGGTTTAGGGTCTGGGGTTTAGGTTTGCTTGACGGCGAGTAGGAGAGCCAATCCCCGCTATACCCCCCTATCTAGACGGCATTTCCGTCCAGTTTTGAGCTCACGCTGTCTCCATAGAATCGGAAAGGTCCATATACGCAATGGGTGGGTAGCCTATTTGGCACAACGGAGGAGTCAACTGGGAAAGAAACTGGAACAGGAAATGGAGACAGGGTGCAGATGGGGATTTTAAAGTTTGTAGTAATATGATAGCTAGACGAGGGTTAGCCGGGAACATGTGCCCAATAATTGGGTACGTGGGATTTGGACACCTCAAACGCATTACATGTTGTGGGCTGGCACGCATATGACTGTTGGGTACTTGGACCCAAGAGAGTACTGTCAACACCTGAAGTAACCCTAAACCCTAATCCCTAAGCTACAAATCGGGATGAGGTCATGATAATTCGCCTGGCCTAAACGCTTGATCGCACTTCGAAGGACAAATGCAAACAAGTGTCTTTGGAAGCCGGTTCACGGAATAGGCCAGTAGCTGCTTGTAGCCTCTCGTGGCCAGAGCAACATAGATTGTGCAGGCATACGACTGTTCGTAGCATTGGCAGAAGCCATATTGAAATACGTGCTTGCACCGCGCTCGTCATCATCGTGAATAATGCGACTCTTTTTGAAGAAGGACATCTCACTGGCAACAGTCCTGGCAATGTGTCGTTACAGGGCCCTTATGGCGCACCACGGAACTCATTCCGGGTGAACACCAGATGGCCAACCCTAAGGGTCCAAGGACCCAAATAATGGGGTTGTAGCGCCCAAATAGTATTTGGGCCTTAAGCCCTATTATTTGAGTCCTTGGACCCCTAGGGTAACAAACAACCCGTATGAGGTCTGGTCCCCATGACGACACTCCCATGTGGGAGTTTCTCAAAATGAGTCCCCTACAGGGTGTAGGGCTTAGGGTTTAGGGAGGGACTTTCTAGGGCCTGTTTTGGGTCGCATAGGTTTTAGGACTTAGGGCTACAATGGAGAGTATTTAGGCGAATACAAAATTTCCTACATGACGTTAATATATGTTCAAGTACCATAATTCTCATGGCCTGAGGTGCTTAGGGTCATGCAGGATTCTTAATATTTGATATCAACCGTAGCAACCCCAGGGCTATGTAGGGATTACGAGGGGATTGTTGGAGACTCAGTAGAGAATCATATAGGGACATTGGCTCAACACTGCTACGGCACTCTCGACTAGCAGACTTTCCAAGACCCTTCCCTGAACTCTAGACCCTAAACAGCGTGGCTCGCCTAGAGTATGCGCCAGTTAGTTCCCCGTGAGGTCAAGCCCAGGTAAAAGCGCATCCATTCTGCTACCCTAA